ATATATATATATATATATATATATATACACATACATACACACACATACACATATACACACACACAAACACACAGTATATATATAATTCTGTCTCTGAGCTCTTCAGGCAGTTCCTTTGACCTCATGATTCTCATTTGCTCTGACATGCACTGTGAGCTGTAAGGTCTTATATAGACAGGTGTGTGGCTTTCCTAATCAAGTCCAATCAGTATAATCAAACACAGCTGGACTCAAATGAAGGTGTAGAACCATCTCAAGGATGATCAGAAGAAATGGACAGCACCTGAGTTAAATATATGAGTGTCACAGCAAAGGGTCTGAATACTTAGGACCATGTGATATTTCAGTTTTTCTTTTTTAATAAATCTGCAAAAATGTCAACAATTCTGTGTTTTTCTGTCAATATGGGGTGCTGTGTGTACATTAATGAGGAAAAAAAATTAACTTAAATGATTTTAGCAAATGGCTGCAATATAACAAAGAGTGAAAAATTTAAGGGGGTCTGAATACTTTCCGTACCCACTGTAGCTGCATTAATAAAACAAAGTGCAGTCTTATTTAATTTGTTACCTTTCTGTTATATTCATGGTAACCATGTTGTTGGGGAATCACAGTTAGACAGTATATAGAGACCACTATGCTCAATAAAGGTCAGGAGTCAAATCTGCTGTTTAATCAGTTGACAGAGAGTTTACTGAAGACAGAGTTCTCCACACTTCCAAAGGCTGTAAAAAATGAATAAGAGGATCCATTCTCGAACTGTCTTACGCCCGTTTCACACATACTCCGTTTGCAGTGCATATTTTTTTCCATAACCATGGTAACAGGTTAGAGCATTCACGCTGCACATGAATGCAGTCCGGCAATGTTTTCCAGCAATTATTTCCACACAGAGTCTATTTTTGCTGTGCTGCATGCACTGAATTAAAGTAGCAGTGCTTTGTTTGCAGTAAAAATTAACATAGATTGACACGAAAATGTAGTAATTGCATCATGCATATAATTAAAGTGGGGGTCTAATGCTATTTCATGCATTCTGACTTATTTACACTGTTAAAGAGTTGGATTCTCATACTAAACATGTACAAAGTTTCAAAAAGCCAAAAAAGGCCAAAAGCCCTATTCGCATGGGATTAGTATTATCTGGGGAACTTGTGTGATTTTGAAATTACCCCCCCACATCTGAATTTCGTGTGGTGCATTCGCACGGGATAAGAGAAGCCTGTGATTTTACTCGAATTTACTGACTTGTCTCCCGGATACCTGGATGTCAAGGCTTTGAGAGTCCCGTTCTATGGTCCAGATGGATGTAAAAAAAAGAAACGAATATAGTTTTGTGCGCGGTGTCATTTGCATTTCACCAGGTTAAAATAATATCTCAAGCTTTATGCTTGATTTATTTGTAACACATTAACCTCAAAAATTCACACGGGATTAAGATCACAGACAACCTCCGCAATTATTACAAATGACTGGAGGTCACCAGGTAATACTAATCCCGTGCGAATAGGGCTTTAGAAACATTGCCAAACTACGAAACATGTTACCTGTTTCTGATATAGAAAAGCTAGTTCATGCATTCATGACCTCTAGACTGGACTATTGTAACGCACTGCTAGGTGGTTGTCCTGCATCCTCAATAAACAAGCTACAGGTAGTCCAAAATGCAGCGGCTAGAGTCCATTAAAGACACATCTCTTTGGCCAAGCATTCAAATAATTAATCTCATAATTTTGTATTGCAGTTATATCTGATCAAATGCACTATTCTTTAGCTTGGGTTAAACAAATCAATTTTGCTTGGTTGGAACAGCGGCTACACTAATTATGTCTATTGACATCCCGTGGTAACTAGGAATTACACAAGCTTCAGTCTGGATCCAGCCCTTCCAAAGACCTGAGATGACTGAACACCTGAGAAGAGATGATGCCAACCCCTAAGAGGACTTCAGATGATGCCAACCTTGAACCAACATACAAAACTACCAAATTTTTCTATAAGTTTAATTGCAGCATATAATCATTGCTGTTAATTGTGTTCACAGTTTGTTTGAATACATGTCATTAACAAACTAGATGATTTTCTCTGCATATATATGCCATACTCTATGGACATGACCATGACATAGTCACCACTGATAAGCTTCTCCTAAATGTAATGTAGAAATTAAAATGTTCTGTGAAGCTGCTTTGCAACCATTTGTATCGTGGTAACTAGGAATTACACAAGCTTCAGTCTGGATCCAGCCCTTCCAAAGACCTGAGATGACTGAACACCTGAGAAGAGATGATGCCAACCCCTCAGAGGACCTCAGATGATGCCAACCCTGTAACAACATACAGAACTACCACATTTTGCTATAAGTTTGATTGCAACATATAATAATTGCTGTTAATAATGTTCATCATCTGTTTGATTATGTCTTTAATTGATTTTTCCGTACATTTCTGCCATATGTACATTAACTGACATAGTCACCACTGATAAGCTACTACTAAATATATTGTAGAAAAACTTAATTTTCTGTAAAGCTGCTTTGCAACGATTTGTATCGTGAAAAGCGCTATACAAATAAACTTGAATTGAATTGAATTTTTTCTTTATTGCTTCCATAATTGAATTGAGAATGCTTTTTGCAGTTCAATTCCCGAATTTGAATTTGAAATGAAGCAGAATTAAAATTCAAGTGTAATTTTTAGTCAAGAATTTGAAATTAACTTTGAATGATGGCTTCACAAAGCCTTCTCTGAAACTTTAAACATATTTTAAAAGTCTACATTTTACTAAGTTTTTATATACCTCTTAAATTTTAATGAATACGATGTTGAATTTTTGAATTATAATTCAGTGCATTCTAGTTCTTTAATTCCAATTTAACCTCCTGTGCAGTGTGGTCAATTCAATTCAAATGCACACTCATGAACTAAGGCAGCCAATTCTTAAATTATGAATTGTGCCCAATTTCAGGCATGGTATTTCATTCAGGACATTCAAATCTAATTTTATGTATTTTTTTGTGTACTTTTAATATGTCCTTCATGCAAGTCAAATGATAAACACATGATTTTAAACTCAAAATGGCTCCTATACCTTTAAAACTGCATTCTTTCATTGGCATGATAAACCCTAAATGTTTTCGCAGTACTATCCATCCATCACCATGCTGCTGATGAATGGTTCAGGGTACAGTGAGGAAATGTCCCTCACACACACAAAGGTTCAGGTAATTGGGACGAGACCTTCTTAAATACATCTTAGATGCTGAGAGACCACTGGGTGAACAAGGTGTTTATACAATATACAAACTATTTTGCATAGGACTGTTCAAAATCTGGGCAATCCAACGATATGTATTCTGATACTTGCAACAAATCTGTGATTATTCAGTGGCTATAAATTATGGATCTGGATAATTATTTCACAGATATTACTCAAAAACAAACTATACAATTATGCTCATGGATAATGCTGCAAAGTGTCTAAACCGATACTGAATATATTTCAGATTTAATGCCATAAACATGAAAATATTTGGCAAATCCAGAGATTACTTCCTCAAAATGACTGGAGCTGAGATTTTAGCCAGCGCTTGCCATATTTGTGTATGATATGCATCCAGCGGTCAGCAAACAGACTGTGGATGTGCCATCTGAGCCTAAGAATATCTTGACCATAATGCATCATACATCAAAAAAATGTCCTGGATATTACAAACGCTCACACAGCAGAAACAAACTGAACTGCAAGCATGCTGCAGCCACATGATGGAAAAGCATGTCTGATTTACAATATGCTTGAAAGAAATGTCAATGACCCTGAAGAGGCTGAAATATATGTAACGCTGTCTATTTATAGCATCAATTTCTTTTCCAATACAACACTGTCCAGCTCTTGCTCTAGGCTACATAAGACTGAGTCATTTTTTTTACCCTCACTTCTGAAAAGGATTTGCTTGCTTTGGCACTTACAGTAGATCTCACAGATTTATGCAAACTAAATATCAGAAATCTTATTATAGGACAATACGCACAACTTACAACTTGTACAACAGTAACCATAATGTGCTACTGTTCGACAGAAGCTATCATAATACTAACTAGTATTTTCAGACAATACCACATGTAAAACCATGGATGGCTACATCTTTATCATAAACATAACTGTAATTGCTATCAGACAAACTATTTGTTATGAAAACTCCACATACATCACAGATTCTCTGTGTTAAATGTTTGTACTTGCCTCATTCTCTTTACTCTTGTCTCTATTCCGGCTGGAACTATTGGCAGTCCCCTTGGCGATGGGCACAACAGATATCTGATGCACAGGCATGCTAGCAGTGCTCAGGACTGCGGGATACCTCGCTGCCTTCAGCCCACCAAAGACAACACACTCACACCATCCTGAGGGTCGGCATGGAAACAAAGAATAAGACCCGTTCCAGAGCTCGTATGCACGCTCCTACAGACACATGCATGAAATCAGGTTAAGTATCCTGGTTAAGATCTTAGACTTCAGCTGCAACGGAGAACCATCCGGAGAGCTGGTCGTCACATCCCAAAAAATGCTGAAGCCAACCTCTCTCGTTCTACCTGTGTGATTTGTGACAGGGAAAGAGAGAGACAGACAGAAGGAGCTCATTTAAATTCTACTCTACCTGAGAGCTGCAGTGATGCCTCACTTTGTGAATGTGTGTGTGCATCTGTTAACCTGACCTGTAAACATGTTGCTGAGAGGACTTAGGGGTTATTTTAGCTCCAAATCTCCTCCCTCCAGGAGCAGCGTGGGATGGAGCAGCCAGCTAATCAGCTTACAACCCCAGGGGCTGCACACAACCTCGGCTACTGGAACACACACTCAAACACATGCACACACACACTGGACAAAACAAACTAGCTTGTAACATTTGAACTGTTAAATGCTTAATTTATAAAAACAGCTGGGGAGAGCTATTCTTTCTCAGCGTGTGTGTGTGTGTGTGTGTATGTATGTACATATAAAGTTCTGCCATGAAACTCTAGATGATATACTCTAATATAATCACATCATTACTCAAATGGTACAGCCAACTGGTTTTACTGGCATCAGCAGCCAATGAGCAACATTCAAATACTCGGCTAGTGCTTGCTGTAGCAAGAGTGCTTCAGAAACCCTCCACCTTCCCCAGTTCCATCTGTATGGATCTGATATGGGGTAATTTCAAGTATGCTATATATGTGACCCTGGTCCACAAAACCAGTCATAAGTAGTATGGGTATATTTGCTTCATTTGGGTTGCGGAAGTCATCGGGATCTGATTCAGGATTGGCTGGATTAGATTTTTAGCCATAGTTAATTTAAGTCAATAAAGCTTTTGTTCCTGTTTTATTAATGTTGATGTCACAGCTTGCAGACAATCACTACGCAAAAGCTTCGCATTCTCGTGACTCTTTAGCTCCACCCATGGCACGCCTCCAGGAGCTGTATCTGTCTTTTATAAATCTGATAAAACTAAAGAGTCTTTGGATATATGAAGGATGCAATACTACGCTATAGGTACTCAATATTAACATGAGAAACTGTGTCTGCTTTAACAACAGATAACCAATTGCAAACAGCATTGCTTGCCTAATTAAATATTCAATTAAATATCGTTTTTTATTATTGTAGAAACCAATTTATATACATAACCATTCAACATTTTTGACACACCTACGCTTTCTTTATAATTAAAAATGTACAAATGTCATTTATACACATTTACGTATACTAATAGTAAAGTCATCATTCCTAAGTATGGCAATTAAGTAACAACAGACCAAAACTACCACATGAATTTAATTTGTAAAGGTCGCCACTCTTTGACTACATTACAACTTCAACTTCATGCTGTGCATCCTGGAACACTGGTTTGTTGTTTTTCCCTCCGTATCTGGTCCACTACATCCACTACAGTTTCTATCATAAGCAGAAAAAAAAACATCCAATCTACATCTACAAACATCTACATCCCCAAAAAAAAGTGAGAATCCGTACATAAAAGTTTTATATAATTCACATTTGTATAAAATCACATCATTAAATATAACCCTTCAGATAAAAAAGGGTTTTTAGATTATGATAAACATGAATGCACACAAGTGTGTGAAACTGTGTAATGTTTGTGTCTTTGTAAAACAGGTCACATTCTTTTCACATACTATTACTGTCCAATAATATTGACCTCATACATATGCAAATAAGAATATTAACCCAGACTTTACAAATGTACAGTGTGAAATAACCTGACATCCCACGGCTGATTACCAACCCAAGGTACAAACACTGAAACAAAAAAACAAATAAAGGCGCTCATAAGTATAGCACAAAAGCCCATTAGTTATGCTTAACTGAACCTGGATATAAAACTACTATCATACTCAGAAGAAGAGATGCTGTGAGATGTAATTTCACTGATTTATAGAAACCAAAATTGCTGTTTGATGACTAAACGTTTTTCAGTTCCTTTATGTCACACTAAAAAAATATCTGATTAGTATTTTTTCTTTTTCTTTTTTTCTAGTAACAATTATTTAAACATTCTTAAATCACAATACATTTACTTGAAAAGGGAAATTGCTTAAGATAAGGCTAAAGACTGTCAGTTTATGCTTAAAACATGAGAAAAAAATCTGACAGATATGGAAAAATAAACTTCATTCAAAGGGGAAACAAGATGTGGGACTCATTTTCATGCCTTGCACATAGGAGGGAACCATTTCTCTATCAATCTGATAGAGAATAAATACAAACAAATCAACAGAAGCATACAGTTTCTCTCTCTTTTACTGTCTTTCTCATCATCCATCAAGGCTGTCTGCTTACTTCAATTGATTTGTTACATTGACTGCCCTCAAGAGGCTCTTAAAAACAAAACATCTCTCAGGTTTTTTCAAGGCCTGGAACATGCATGGTTAGAAATCAGACACATTAATCCAGCTAAGGGTTAGATTTGGCTCTGTTTGGTATAGTTATGATGAAACCATAAGTGTACTTACGATAGAATCTGACTACTGCCCCACTGCAATCTTGTCAAGTCTGGCCGCAGTTGATGTCGAATACACCTTTGGTGAGACACAAAAAAGAAAAATGAAAGAAAAATACTTTAAATAATCCAGCAAAGACTATGTTTTATTCGAAATGGAGAGAGAAATTCTGGTCTATAATCCAGACTATTTTATGGTTCTAAATCAGAGGTGTTCAGACTCTCTCCTGGGAACATAATCAAGGTTTTTCAGGTTCATTTGAAAGTTACAGGCAGGTTTTACATAGGCACCCCTATGTAAGATAATAGCCTATATGAGCAAATTTTTACTCTTTGCATTTCTAGGTAGAACCAGGACACTTAATCTGTTCACAGGCATCTAAAGGTATTAACCACGACAAAAGCTCATACCTACAGGTACCTGGAAATAAAACAAGGTGTTCATCCAAAATAAACAAACTTTAACACTAATTCCAAAACAAAACAAACAATAAAATAAATGTGATATTTAAATATCAATAAAATGTAAAAACCCCATGGAGAAAATCAAGTTTTTAATGTTGTTTACATGTCTATCTGGTGTTTTTAATATGCTTAAAGACAATTCATCAGTCAACACCATTGCCTAATATTTTCTCCTTAAAACTGTGGAGGGGCTCAAAAACCTAGTTTGAAACCGTATCTGTTTTGTACGTCACAAACATTTAACCAATCCCACCAGCTTTTCATATCTGGTCAATGGTTTCTATCCATAATGTTTTTGATTAAAACTAATGAGAGAAAAAACATCTAAATTTAAGTGATTAAAAAATTTTCAACTATTATAAAGAATTTACGACTGGTTCAAATACACAGAAATCATACCTTAATCATAGCAGTAACCATAAAATTAAAATGCAATGCATAAGTGTTTGGCTGAAACAATTCAAATGCACAATATGAATTTAGTCATGATTTAGGAAATAGCTTCAGTCAACTATATTTCTCAGTGAGCGACTGAGAATTAGCTTGCATAAGAGATTTAATTTTTTTAATTTTTGACATTAATTTAACAATATAAACTATGTAGTATTTAATATTTACTATGTGTTTATTAAGGGTATACTATGACATTAATTATGCATACATCTAGAAATTTAACATTTAAAATCAACTTTTTATTGAGACAGTCTAATATACGGCCTAACTCATAAGCCACAATTTGCACATTCACATTATGGTGGTGTATGTACCTTTTAAATTTACGCACAATTGTATTCAATAATGTGAAATTTTATTCATGAAACATCTAAAACTTTACTGGAATGAGAAAAATAAGTAGTTATGCAAGTTATGAAAAATGTATAAAAATTGTAAATTGTTTGTTTATTTATTTATTTATTTATACAAAACATTGCAGGTAGATTTGGAGTTTTTATGACATAAGCTGTTATGTGAGCTATGAAAAAAAAATCCCCAGTCTCTCCTACTATCTGCGACACTATATTCTGATATTTATTTATTTATTTATTTATTAGTTCAGATAGAATTCACAGTATATATATATATATATATATATATATACATACAGTATATAGATAGATAGATAGATAGATAGATAGATAGATAGATATTCATGTCCAGTCTGGGCAGAAATAATTGGACATGCTGAGACAATCTGCATGGACTTCCAACATATAGGCTATATGCACAACAGGACAATCCTAGTATGCTAACTATTTCAACAAGGGACAGTCAGGCTGGGATTTGCATGATCATGACTGAGTTTAACCTCTACTTGCATTTGTATTTGGTATCCAGGGTACAACCATCGTTAATCTCCCCATGCAATACGAGCCACTCATTGCGGTTACCCCCTCATCATATTACAGTATCACCTGTATACAAACAGGTGCACACGCACAACCAAATAAAAAATAATGTACAGCGCCAAAGACTTCAAATCGGACACCTGTATGTGCAATAGTACGTGTGAGTAATTGGTTTTCTAACTAAATATGTGTGTTTACGTCCCTGGTCATGTGTTGTTGTGATCCAAACATTTGTACAGGTGCTGGAGTGTTTTGTTGTTGCAGTGTTGCTAATATAGATCTGTGCAGTTTGATGAGCTCAGATGATGTGTCAGTTGTGTTATTTTGATAATATGCCAGTGTTGCTATAGTATTTCTGGTGCTGAAGTATCAGTGATGCCCTGATTTTGCACTGAGTTTGTGTTTGTTCGTTCAACCGAAGCAGATGGCCTCCCCCTTCACTGAGATGGAGTGGTACACTATTTTCTTCTCTCTGGTAGTGTTCAGTCTTTTTACCCTGTATGGCCTAATACAAGAGAGATGTGTGCACACTACAGGTATGAGTAATACACATAAACAACACTATTACATCTCTATTAGTTCACCCCGTATGAAAATTGTGTAAGTCTGTATTTAGAACTTGGGCTGGGGTCCAAACATGGTCCAATCCCAGTATGTTGACTATTTCAATAATGGACAGTCAGACAGCCAGCTTGCTCACTATATTCCAACCAAGTTGTAATATAGCTTTTTTTTTGTGAAAAATAGAGCATAAGTGCTTATTAACAGAAAATCTTGACATCCACCTTATAGTAGCCTTTCCAGTGAATTGAGTCATGAATTGGGCTGATTTGGTTTCCATGAGTCAATCGTTCTGTGTCTCAAATGATTTTGCT